GCTGCCACTGCCGCCAGAGAAATCACCTGGCTGAACAAATTGTCAAAGGGTATCGGATGTAAATGGGATGTCTGCGCGGTTTTGTGTGTAGATAATCAAGGTGCTTTAAAACTGAACAAAAGTCCCGATTATCATAAAAGAACCAAGCACATTGACATCCGATATCATTACCTGAAAGAAAAATACGAAAATGGAGAGATCAGTATCAAATACGTGCCTACTGATTGTCAATTCGCTGACATTCTAACTAAAGCATTAACTAGAGATAAGTTTCAAAGAATGCGTGAACATTTGGGTCTGATCAGTGAAAGACAACTGTATTTGTAATTTCTCCTATGTTTTTTTTTGCTTTGAAAAAGAGGCGGAAGTGTTAAGGTATGTTCTTTTCGGGTCTTTTTCTGATCCGTTCTTTCTTCCGTCTCTGTCTCGCGTCGCTCGCGCCACGCTGCGGGCTCGATCTAAAACCTGCAGTCGACTGTGTAATGTGCTTGCGCAAGCTACGTCGTGTTGTCAGTGAGACTTCCTAATATATTGATTTTTTTTCTTATGTTCATCGATTTATTACTCGTTCTATCACTCTTCCCTTCCACGGTGTGGTGATAGCACCGGATTCATCGCACGAGACAACAGAAATGGCCCGCAAAATTGTATTAATGTTGTTAAATTTTTAATACTACACATTTACGCGATATATATTTTCGTGAGTGAGCGCGTCTTATTGCAGATTTTGAATTGGTTGGATTTATTTTCGATTATTAATTTTTTTAAATTAATCACATTTAATAAGCAGCCATGTCGACTGTATTATTTACCAAGCGAGAAATTATTGAACAATTTTTCATGAAACCTGGTATTGATGATAGGATATCAGCGGTTGTAAATTATATTTTGTCTAACAAGGGGAGGACGCAGACTTCGGGTCACCGATTTCAAAGAAATTTTTATATGGTATAATACTCTATCAGAAGAGTACTTGAGTAAAAGGATAGGGCGCAACGCTTAGTCGTTTTCGAGAAAAATCGATTTGAAGTTTATGGCGTCCCTTATATTCCGGTCCTGTTGGATCGGTTGTCGAGATGGCGGCGTAGCTCGGGCACTTAGGCTCTAGGCTATCACGCTGTCGACCTGGGTTCGATCCCTGCTTATTATACTTTTT